GTCCGCCGCCGCCCCCCCCTCGGGCAGCGGCCAGGACACCGAGCTGACCACCACGTACCCCCCCGCGCCCCCCCAAGCCTACTCCCAGATATTTGCAGCAGTCGGCGGGGCGTTCATTTCGTCGTCCCCCCCGGTGACACCCGTGGGACAGCCACCCTCAGGCCGTGGACCCCGCTTCGCCCCGGCCACGCAGGACAGACCACGGGGCTCGCTGCGGGGTTACCCGGCGTGTCAGGCTGCTGGACCCTCTCCGTCAGGTGTGAGGCCGGGCAGGTATTTAATGAAATAATTCCTGTACTTCATGTGCAAACCCACGCACGTGAAACCGTCCAGGCAGAGGCGGTGCCATCTCCCCGGTTATTAGAAAAAAGAGAACCCACGGGGGAACGCGCCCACGTGAATGCTCCCGTTTGGACGCTGGGGTCAGGCAGCAGTAAGACCCCGAGTGCCAGAGGGCGGACATCATTAGTTCAGTGCTCGTGCGGTTCGATTTCACATGTTAGTAGGTGGAGCTGCCATTAAATTATATGTTTTCCGGGCAAGGTTTTAATTCGGCAAAGATTTGAATGTATGAGTTTTTATCAACGGCCCTATTTAGTAAAGGAGCTTTTGCATCCTGCTCCTTTTCTGTTCTTGGCAGTAGAGCCCTTCAGTATGGCCATGCAAACTTATAATTCTTTAAAATACATGCTTGTAAACTTTCATTGCATTCATGCACACTGTTTAAGGAGTACCGGTTCAATAGGAGACAGGGAGGAATGCATCTCACGGGAGCCTTTACCTTTCACAAGGTTCTCAGATACATCGAATAGACCTTACCTTTCCACCACTGTGAAGAACTTCAGCTTAATTGCTCCATGAGAATATGCTGCCTAACTAATCTAGAATATAAACTTTTCTAAATAAAAGAGGAGTGGAAAATATTGAGTATTTTTAGGTTATATTTTTTCTAGACACCCTGTTTTGGTTTTTGTCTTCACCGTAAAAACCTGAAATATAGTGAAAATGGGTATAATGGGCCTTAAGCCCCAAATGCATTTTTCCGACTTGTGAAGATACTTCCCCCAGAGTGTGTGATTTCACTACCAAGCTCTTAATCGTATCAGCAAAATTGAATACATGACTGCCTTTTCCTTTAGCACATGGCCCTGTTTACATCTGCTGTAATACCACCCTTTTGAATATTGATTCCCTCTTAAGTGCTTGAGTTGAGACAGAATAATGTAGATGCAGTGGAAATTAAATGTAGATTTCCAAAACGAAATGAGTAAAAACTTGCTAAGCTCCTGACAAGTGCTTTTTTCTAGTTCAGGAAATGGCTGTTCTTAAAATAACGAAGCAGTTGTCCTTCTTGAAATAACAACCAGGCCCAGTCAACTCCCTGCGGACGCGCTCTTCAAAATATTTAAAAATGTAATTTCCCTGGCATTTCAAGGAAATTCCTCATGCAATCTCATGCATGCGAGATACAAATTTCATATTCTGTATTTACTATTTCATACAAATTTATTCCAAGCTTTCTCTTTGTAAGAGTCTTTGCTTGTACTTTGCTTATAGAACAAATTCAAACAACCTGGTTTCTGCCATAAACAAATCGATAACATTATATACAACCTATTTTATTTCAGTTAATAGAATTATATGTGAGATATTGACTCTTGTATCCTGCATAAATAGGAAACAAAGCAGGAATTTCTCAAGACATAGGATCAGTGCCAAGTTCTATATGCAATAAATATAAATTTTAAATTACGCACGGTAGACACAAAGCAGCACTGACACAGAGTCATTCATCTGTTCTGTAGCTTCCAGATAAATTTACCACAATGACTTCAGTCAGGCCTTCAGCTTTACTGACAGCAAAAAATACAAGAAATAGATAAAAGCAAACCACAAGTATTTCACCTTTTTCTTCTGAAGATTTATTCAAATAAAGTCAAACAGCCAAATCATGTGACAACTTAACTGCATTGCTAGCACAGTTTTGCATTTAGTATTTCCAGAAAAAGATCTTAAATTTAAGAGAATGAGAATTTCTTAAAGTTGTATCTAAAAGTAAGAATATCTGGCATAAAGAATTTTCATGTCAGGGTGTTTTTCTCTGAGAGTTGCTGTTTGTTCATCAGAGGCAAAAAAGTGTCTGTCCATCTTTTTGAGTAGAGGAGAGCTTCCCTTCCAACTTGAAGATCCAGCTGAGTAAAGTTTTAGAAATTCTCTCTTTCAGTATGGCCTGGATGAGCTCAAAATTAGAAAAGAAACATGGAAATGTTTTGATTTTAGGAACTGTAAATTATTTGTTTCTCCCTTCATTGAATAGAAAAGTTTTTGTTCTTTCCTGCTGAACCCAAGGTATTTCACATATACGCAACCTTAACCCAGCAAGAGGAGATACACGTTGGGTTTCCTCATAGGGTGGCAAAGGTGTGATAAGAAGCCACATCCACATTTTAATACGTCATTCACGTTTTATATGTCTGCTATAAGCCCTTCTGTTCTTTTTCAAAACAAATAGTCTCAGCCTGTCTCTCCCCCTCATGGGGGCTGCTTTTTCATGCTGAAATCCTGGCTTTCTTAAAATCAGCAGAAGTTTTGCAACTGAATTTAAGCAGGATCAATATTTTGCTCTCATTTTTTGATCATTTCAGTTAATGATTTCACTTGAACTCTGTATCCGGGATTATACAGACGACTCAAATGAACACTTATTGTTCCTTTAAGTGAAGTAGTTAATTATGTCCTTATTTTTTCTCCCCTTTTAATAAATCAAAGCATTTGATTTGCTTTCTGCCAACAGAGCTACAAACAGTGTAACCTCCGTCTCTTCGTGCCCTGATTTGCAGTATATTGTACGTTATGAAGGTGTGGAATTGGATTAAAAGCTACAGCATGGTGTTCTGCAGATAAATCCACTGCAGGTGTGCAGTTTAATAGGATTTTAATTTGGTAACAAGTGAACAAAGAGAGGAAGCCTAGAATAGGATTTTCTAGATGAAAAAATGCTATGCGTGCTGAGAGAAAGCAACTGCAAGCTCCATGATAAAGAATAAAGATCAGGCTGGTGCTCTCTGAGCTGCAGTTTGATAGATTACGGCTCACTCAGAGCATCTTCGTTACTGCCACCAGCTTCAACAATTCTTAATTCATACTATGTGCGTTCGGCTATACAGCATTTCACCTGCCACACTCCCCATTAAGCCAGTGTTCAAATCCTGTGTTGTCTCACTCCCCGCCCTCTACATTTTTTCATATAAAAATAATGTTTTCCTCGAGAGATATCACCAACTTGGAATGTATTCTGTTTTCATTCAAGGTTATTAACAATTATTTTCATGCTTCAAATTCTATAAAAAAATGGATTCAGAAATGTGCTGCACTGTTCAAAATAAATGGAAAAACATGGTCTCTCTGCTGAGGAGTGTAATTTATATTCAGCATGAACTAGGAATGGAGGACCAAAAACAGATGGGGAAGGAAGAGGGAGAATGAAGGTGACAACTAAAAGATCATAAAGGGATCTGCTAAGCCACAGACACATATTGATGCTGCTGATATCAGGGCAAGGTTGGGAGATTCTTTTCTGATTTCTGTTACCAGTCCTCCCTCTCTTTTTTCCAGGGTTTCATAGCAAAACTGAGTTTTTAGCACTAATTTCAATGAGATGAGGGTGGAGGTGCGATGAACAGATTTTTTTCCCAAGCATAACAGGCTGTAGAGAAGGCACAGAAATGCCTTGTGGGACAAGATGAAAAAGATACGGAGGTTGGTGTTGTTGGCAGAGGATGGAGTGGAGGATGGGAGCTGACGAAAGACACTGGGTCGCAGAGAGCTGTAGAGGCTGCATGAGGTAAGGGAGTTAAAAGGAAAAATTGTGAAATATACCCGTGATGCACAGAGCAATATGTCAGTGAGCAGAAATACAGTCCAGAAAACAGCAGTGTGCTGGTGCATGCCACTAAGGCTGCTGAGGTTTTAGATACCCCGCAGAATGGGCTGTGGCCGAAGGGGGATTAGTCAGGAGCAGGACAGATGGTTGCTTGGGAGCATGATGAAGATTTTTGGTGATCAGAAGTCACAGAAAACAAATCCTCATGCAATGGGAATCTGTTCAGAGGATCTACAGAGATGGTGATATAAAGTGGTGGGTGATGTAGATGCTTTTGACAGCTGTGTTTTTCAGCAACCTGTGGAATTAGTATTGACACTCAAGAAGAAGCCTGCAGTGGTTGAGGTGGGAGCTACCACCCGTTTGAAGGACAGAAGTAGGCAGAAGTGCTCACTTACTGTGTTACAGCTCCTGAAACCCTTTTGAGCTGCAGGTTCGGTTTTCAGCTCCCTAACAAACTGCAAACACTTGAACCACAGCATCAGCAGGCTCTTACTAGAATCTCTTTTTCATCCCACCATTATCAGCATTTTGCGTGTGGACTGGCAGAATCCATCATCTGTTGGGATCTTTAATCTCTAAACTCGTTCTACACTCTCCCAATCCTTCACTATCTCCTTCCCTCCTCCATACCTTCTCTCAAGTCGTCATACTCTCTATTTCATGTTTTATACCCTTTCTTCCTGACACCCCTCGTCCCTCGCTCTAATCAGCCTTACTCTGTTCTTGAGACCATGTACAAAATATGCAAAACTGACAGACATATTTATAGGCACTTCACTTACACAGGCAAAACCTGGGTCAAACCCTTGTCTGCTGACACCACATAGCAATGGGCATAGTGGGCCATGCAAAAGCCCATATGGGCAGCATAGTGAAAACATACGAAACAAGGCAGATAGTAAGGTTTCTACTGGTTTATCTCCTAATTTCTAACCATCAGTGGTTTAGAGATTCCTTGCTTGTAGCCTGCACCTAGCAATGTTTGGGTTTTGACATTAAGGTGGTGTGTCAGGATGGGTCATTATATTACATTTAAAAAATAACAAAAACTGTCAAACATGCCCATCACATGTATAAATCATTCTTGCTTTGTCACCTTTGCACCTTCTTTCTCCTCTCCAATCTTCATTGCTGAGCTAGCTTTAGCATATTCTATATTTAAAAAACAAGGGTCCACTGAGGGTCTTTATAACTAATACAGATGTTTTTAAAACAATCCATTTCCAGCCTGGTCCTAGATTATGGAAGCTGAATACATCTGGGGAGTAAAATAACTATAGCAGGATAGCAACAAAATTGCAATTTTCTTCATGAGTTTTGGTGTATTAACGTTTGTCCACTGTTTGCTGGAAAACAGAGTGTTCTCTGAGATTTAAGACGAGTACTGTTACTGCATGGAAGAGAAATCTGAAAACAGGTGAATGTCTAATTCATCACTTGTACTGAGCACAGAGACTTGATCCATGTTCCCATATGTCCTTATATTTAGCCTTGTATCCTAGAAAGACTTAGTCTATCTTGTTCTACCTGTATATCATCCCTTATGCTGGGACTGACTGCAAGAAAGTCTGGTGGAGCAGAAAGGTCTCAAAGATTTCATACTTCTGCATGTTTTGATAAAACTGACAGGTAGGTGGAAGAAAGAGAGCCTCTCGGTACTTCCAACAGCGAGAAAAGACCACACCATGCGTTCTCTCTTCCAATCAATAAATACATGCAGCCTGTTTGTCAGCCCACAAGGTGCTCCCAGCCCACCAGAACAGTGCTGCTCTTGCTGAGACAATGCTTGTGGAATTTGAAGGACTGCCAAATGTCTGCTGGAAACCTAAGGAAAGAACCAGGGAACTGCGGTGATGGGGAGATGGGTGGTTTGGAGATTACAACCCCTTGATAGGATCATGGGTTGGGAGCGGGATGTGGAGGATGCTTTGTGGCTTAAGGTTTCAGTGACATTGGACATGGCTCCATGTAAACCTAGATTTCATTATTTGTACTTTACTCATAAAACCCCCCAAACAACCACACCCCTCCCAATTCCTCCCAATTTACCTAATTAATAACTGTGTTTTTTTAATTTTATTTAAAGTTAATGTGTATTTTGCCATGCTGCCTGTGGCTGTGTCCACAACTCAGAATGCTGGAAAAGCATTACTTAATCTGAATTTCTTAATAAGAATTACTTACTCTGGCTCTGCATCAAAGCTGGAAGAGCTGTCTGTGGAGCACTGGCTTGAGGTTGCTCCTCTGCAATATAGACCCAGAGTTGGCTGGGCTCATAAACCCTTGGAACAGGGAACTCATTTTGCTTTGTGACCCAGAAACTTTCATCTTCCTCCTCTATATAGGACAGGAAAACGTGACCCACAAAATCTATGAGTAGCGAATTTAACAAATGCCAGAATCCTAGGTTTAAAGAAAAACAAACATAATTTCAACAACCTCTTGATTTGCTTATCTTTATGATGTGTTCTTTTTTGAAGGGCTTCATTATAGTAATGGGCTAGACAAAGTAGCAGACTGGCATTCATCAAATAGTACTTACAAATTACGTACTTCCAAGTATCACAGCAAAACAGGCACTAACCGCAGATTTTAAATATAATCCCTTAATCCCTTCTCCCCTTGGACAGATAAATCATTCCACCTTTTCCCAAGCAAACCTTCCTACAGATGTCTGTATGTCCTGTATCTATGACATTAAATGGCGTACCTTGCACTTGGGGCATAACTGCTAAAAGCCAAGAGAGACTTGTTGAGGCCATTGACTTTTGACTAATATCTTGGTTGAATGCCCTTACAGTAAAGAGGTCTTCCATGCCATAAATCTGCATAGGAATTCATCAAGCAATTCGTCACCTCTGCATCCCCCCAAAATGTTTACATGGACATCAGCAAGGAGATGCCACAATTTATATGGACAACCAAGGTTTACAGAGCTTTAAAAATGAAAAATACTGCCTCTTTTGATGTTACATGTGTCTGAGAAGCTGTTGCTTCTGCTGTTTGTCCTTTTGCACATCTTTAAATGATAGCAAAGTTAAGTGGAATTAGTTGTTTATCTGCTGGAAAAGGGAAGGGACTTTTATACTTGGAGTTCAAACTATACAGACCTGACACTAGTAGTCCATGAGTGCTTGTAACAGTCTTACAGGTGTTTTCAATATATTCAATAACAGTAGGCTTGAAACAAAAGCTACTGCTCTAGTTGTCCCTTGGGATAATACAGAGGGACACAGTTTTGAAGAGGGAGTAAATTGAATCAGCTTATTTGCAAAAGAGGAATGCACAGGTCACTCTGCAGCCAGCATGGCTCAGCAGTACATCCTTGAATGCCTCATAAGGGAGACTGGTGAGGAAATGGTGTACCGGCTGACATGAGGCTGTGATGGAGGTACATAGTAGTACATTTGATGGAGAGGGGGTGGAGCTGAAAGAGCTGCAGAGGTCGCATTAGCCCAGACTGCTGTAGCACACTTGCCCCTTGCTGCCTTACAGTGAGGGTAACTGCGTGGTTCCTCTGGTCACACTTGGGCATCACCCATGTGGAGGCTGGTCTGGAAGAGGGTAAAAGTCAATCCTAAATTTAGAGGTGTGAGTATGCCAGTATATTATGTGTGCCAGATGTGCCAAGCTCCAAGGAAAAAGCCCCAGACTGAACTAAGTTTGGTTTCAGTTACTATTATGTATTTTGGGGGGAGGCAGACTGCATTAACATGACACTCACACATTTCCCTAAGTAAGCGTGTTTCCTCAATGTGGATGTTAAATATTTCAACTTGCAGGATGCCCTCCATTCCTGGAAGAAATGCTGAGATTTAAGAAATTTCTGAAAGTGATGACCCTGAGTACAGAACTTCTATACCAGCTGGCTTGTTAACATAATGGTTTCCGCCCTGTCCACTAAAACCTGAAATCCTACCAGAATAGAAACATGGGAAAGAAGGGACATTAACAGGTCATGTAGCCCAGAATCTTAAAGAACCAAGAGTATTAAGAAAGAAGATAATAATGATCAAATTAATTGGAGCATCATAGAGAAAGGTTTATTTTTTAACTCTCGCATATGTGAGAATTCAATCTTAGTGTTACTGAAGTATAGTAGGAAGACTGTCATAAGTGGGAAGAAAATATAATTTATAACTAGTTCAAGGAAGGCTTGGTAGAGGAAGGGATGGTCTCCATCAGTTGTGTCCCCCCCAACCACTGACAACTGCAGAACAGGGAGGCAATTCATTAAACTCTTCTTGTGGTGGAAAGAGGGAAGAGGATTTCATCATTGTAGGGAATTTCAATAAACATTATGCTTCCAGTGTTGTTCTTGGAATTCATTCCTAATTTCCTCATTGCTCAAAATATTGCATGTAATGTTGGAGAGTTTTGTGCAGAACTCCTCTGGAGAGAGAGAATGGAATGATTATTTTATTATTGTTGTAGTGCAGCAGCTGATGGACAGGGGACCTTACTGTACTATGTTCCCCACAGATGCAGAACAAAACTGATCCTGCTGCAGAGAGTTTGAAATCTAAATATAAAGCAAAAGGTAGCAGCTAGATCCAGAAAAGGGGTATGCACATACATACACAAACACTGACATTAAGCAGGGGAAGAATACTGAAGAATACAAAAGGCAACAACCTTAACATATCCCTTTGTTATGTCTTTGTAGGAAACAAATGAAAGTACAGTTTTGAAGGGGAATTTCAAAGAAGACAATGAGGTTTTCACTGGGTATTTGTGTGAAGCCCCATCCAACAGAAGAAAAAATATGAAGGTGCTCCTTTGAAAATCTAAAAAGCGGTTCATGCAGGTTGGGATCAGATGCTACTGACAGGAGATGGTGCATTTCTGCAGATTGAATAATAGAGAGCAAGCCTCTGAAAGGTCTTACAAATGAAGAGAAAGGCAGGGAGGGTTGATGCAATACAGAAATGGAAGAGACTGAACTGATTCAGGATGTGGTTTTACCACTTCAAGCCACTTTGAGTGAATGTGACTGCACAGTCCCTTCGCTTCTCTTGGCTTGCACTGGTGTGGGATGGATTTGATGCTTGACAGCTCAGAGCCCTAAAACAGACAGAAAACTTAACTCAGCTAAAGGAGTGACTTTTTCAGTCAGCTGAACACCTTAAACAGTCTTGCTGCTGGCTAGGCAGACACTTGTGTCGGTGTAAGGTATAAGGAAAAGGATCATATAGCTGTTGTCAGGGGAAGTAATTGACTTTAAGGCAAGAATTATCACAGTGGCTCTGCTCTGGCTGTGTTATACAAAAAGAACCTGAAGGACTGAGAGCTATCACTTGAGAGATCTGGAGTTTTTATAGTTTGGGATGTTAGCAGCCCCAGCTCCCCATCACACTGTTTTGCTGGGGTGTGCAGCTCTTGAAGGGAGGGAGAGCAGAGGCTCACACCTCAGGCTGCTGTTCCCCATATTTCCACTGGCAAATGATGGCTTCTGCCGAAAGAGGGAGTCCTGCCCTTCCCGCCATCTCCGGCTGCATGCTCCTATTTTCCTCCGTTATGCTCACCCTAGAGTTTGGATCAAAAAACAATGCTGAAAACTAATCGTTTGGTTTCCCTGACCTGGCTAGCCACATCACCAGGTGAATGGTGCTGCCTGATGCAAGGAAGGGAGTAGGAAGAAGTGATGCCCCCATTGACTGTAGCCTGAATTTATGTCAGTTAAAATGATCTGGTGCCTCTGCCATCTCAGGGTTGAAAGGGTAGTGTCGGACAAGAGTCACAAAGATCCCACTCACCAAAACCGTCTGCACCGTTGAGGGTCATAGCCTTGCTTACTGCACTCAATAAGAAGTTCCATCTCAACTGGAAATCTGAAGCCAGTTTTCTAAACTCCTCTTTATTCCTGCTTGGCTGCAGATAGAGAAAAAAATTCTTTATAAAAAAGTTGGTTAAAATAATTCCTTATTGTGTGGCAGAGTATTTCCCCATACAAACTGCAAACAAAGATGGAACAAGAAGGTTTTTTGTTAGAATCCTAAAATAACTTAAGTTGAAAGGGATCTTTGGACACTGTCTAATCCAACCTCTTGCTCAAAGCATGACCATCTTAGTTCAGGCCTTGTCCAGCCTCCAAGATGGAGATTCCACACCCTTTCTGGGTAAATTACCTCATGGTAATTTTTTTTCTTTTTATCTTTTGGAAATTTTCTTTGCTGCAACTTGTGTCTGTTGACTTATACCCTATAACTGTGAACCCTACAGAAAAAGGCCCACTCCATCTTCTCTATGCTATCCCATGAGGTAGGTGAGGGTTCTATGAGATGAAGGCATCACAGAACCTCAAAGTGCTATTCTTAATTAAAAAAAAAAAAAAAATCAAACCAAAGAGGTACAGTTTACTCTGCTTCTTCAGAAAGGGAAAAGAACCCCACTTTACCACCATCCAGACTCAAGTTAATTGGTCTGGCAACCAACTGAATGCAGTGGTACCATCAAGCTATTGCTAATTCTGAATCAGTGATGAAACAGGGGTGGTAGAGTTTGTAACCTATGGAAAGGTGCACATGCAAGGATGATCATACTTGAACCTTTCACAAGAGCTAGAGACACTGTACTAGAAATTATCACGCTCCTACCACCTGCTAAAAGTCAAAAGTTTCTTGAATCAACAGTTTCGGGAATCATGAAGTGTTCTCTTCATTTTTACTAACATTTTTCTTCTGAATTTTGGGTTACTAGGGACTGTTATAATATGTGTCTATGAAATGAGACCAGATACTGAAACTGCCCAAGTAGATATATGCACAGAAATAATGCGCAGAAATATGCTTGTAGTTTGTTTGCACAGATGGAATTTTTGTATTCCAATTAATTCCCCCTTTTTCTAATGCAAATCTGCAGTCTGGTCAGGTTGCTAGTGTACAGTGTAGTTCCTGCAGATTAGTGACAGTCAGCATGTAGCAGGATAACTGATGGGATCTCTCCTTCTTTTCTGAAATTATTAAATTAATTTTATACCTGAATGACAAAACCCTGAAGATTTGAAGACACACAGTCCAGGAGAACCCGAATATCTATGTCAGGTCTCAGCAAACATGTTAAGTCGTACAAACCTATGAAATACAGAAGAAAAATCATTACTTGAAGTGATTGGCTTGCTTTTCGGTTTGTTGATGCAGTTTTAGCTTTTTTTGTTTTTCTTCTGTCTTTAGCTCAAAATATTAAGACATCTGTCTATAGCATTTTGATTAATATACTATTCCTTTAGTGAGGAATAGTACCCTACTTTGAAATCAGTCAGAATTCACGTTTATGTCCATTTCCACCATATCTGCACCGATCTAGTCATCATGGCAAAGGTGTCAAGAATAAACACTTCCAATGTGAAAGCTGGAATTTGGTTAGCAATACCAACTTATTTATCTGAGATTTTATGTGTTGAGAAGAAAAAATCTTGGTTTATCTGTTGAGGGGGAGAAAACCATTTTAAAACAATAACAGAAAATGCAGAATATTCTGTACACCAACAGAATTATAGGTAATATTGCCACATATCAGTGAAGCTGTTCCCCCCAAACACTGGAACCCACCAGTGCCAAAAGGTGCCATAGTGATGTACCTTTTATACACCCTTCTAACTGAGACATATTCCTTCAAGAAGGCATATGGATTGGCTCTGTGAAACCTTGCTTATTATAAATAACAGTTTGGAAGAGCACTGAAAACAGAGAATGCAATAAGTCCACCATGGAAAAAACTAAGATCATCATTAATAATAATGAGTAAATGTAATGAAAGCGTTCTGTGCAGTGGTTTTGATTTTATGATGTATATAAATATTTAAATGGTTCTCCTGATTGTTCTGTGAAGAAGGCAAATTATTATTCCTACTGAAAGGAGTCATGGAAAGGCTGTGGCACATCCCTTGTCAGTGAGCAAGTCAGGGGTGGGCCAAGAACAAAGAACTGAGGTTTCCCCCCATCAGTTCCATGCACAGCCTAGTCCAACTTGCCTGTCTCTTGTTAATAATTTAAATGGCAGCCCATTAATCTAAGAATTAACTTGCCATCACATTCCCATCCCTTTTTATTAAGTTGGCAAATGCATTATCTCATGGCTGCATACAAACTGTGTATTTACAGCAGCACATCGATCCCACAGGCTGTAATACAGCAAAAGGACATGAAAGCTGAAAGGCCAATAGTCCTCATCCAGTTCAGCATAAAATATTTTAAAATCTGACCACAAGAAATTATTTTGTGTACTTTGATTAATAACAGAGGAAAATTGAGAAATGCAATTCTTGGAAACTTCGTTTTTGTCAAAGAAAAAGGTAAAAAATTAATATCCCTGTTTGTCAGCCTTCTGGAAGATACATCATTTAGTAACACAATCCCCCCTCCTGCTGCCATAGAAAGCTTTAAGAGAGAGTCAAAACGGAAAGCCTTTCATTCCTAACCTTTAAAGTTAAAAGAATAGTATTACATGCTCCATTCTCAATTTAATTGGCTCTTTTCCAGTACTTCGGGTTACGGCAAGTCTGTATTTCCCATTAGGGCAGATGCCATGAATAAACACAGGGAAATGCTGGAGCTTTAACAATGGCAAGCAAGGGCTTAAGTGGATAGACTGAAAATATAGAAAAAAAATATTACATTTGAGTTCTATGTCATACTGCAGCTCCTCTGGATTCCTAAGACTTGTTTGAAAGAAGTTTCCAGACACATCCAGATATCCCTGATCAATGGCAGAATGCAGTTCTGATCGCAGAACAGTGACATTGCTGTTGCTGTTCAAGACTGCTCTCACTGTCTATAGATAATAAGAAAACAGTTAAAGCCTTTCATTTTCTTTCTCATTAAAGAAAACAGTTAAAGCCTTTCATTTTCTCAACCCCTTAACTTGGTCAAAAAGCTTTCCTTATTCAGTACTAGACTTTATGTGATCAGTCTCCAAATTGGGGAAAAAAATAAGGGAGATGAATCTTAAGTTGTCTTCAAGAGTTTTTTGTTCTGGGAGATATTATTTTCAATGACACTCTGTGTTGCTGTCTGTGATCTAGCAGACAAGGCTAACATGCTTGAAGTATCTGGGCAACTGCCTGGGCAATTGGTTTTGCCTGCAGTTATTATAGCTGGATCAAATAACGGTATTTTGTCTAAAACATGGAATGGTGTATCAGGGCTCACTTTTCCTCGATGTTACCTGTCCTTAGTACATGTTTCAATTAAATTCAAAGGCAAGTTTTGTCAAGGAAAAATAACATTAGAAATACGGTATTAGTTAAAATAATCTTAGTTGGGATTTTATCCCATTTGTCTGCTTGTGAATTGTTCATGAACAAATCTGGCTTCATATTTGTCCCCAGAAGTATTACACACATAGATATTGCAAACAATTTTCAGCTTAACATTTGATCCTCATCTCTTCACTTTTTTTTTCTTTTTCATTAATTGCTATTATCACACAATATTCCTTCAGATTCTTGATGAAATTAAGAAAACAGTGAAGGAATTTAAACCTGAATCCATTAAAATTTGTTAGTCCATACATTTAGTCTCTCACTTCCATACAGAAATCAGTAAGATCCTAAAGTCTTTATTGAATTTTAGGCTTTTCTATGAATAATCCATGTCCAGCTGGGCCTTCCAGAGGAAAAATATTTTTTGTAAACTTCAGAAAAACTTCTGGATTCATAAACAAATCCCGTTCTTCAGGTGCTTATCATGACCCCACAAGCAGCAGTGAATATGGCTGCCCGTTTGTTTGCAAACATAATACAGCCATTTTTCTTTTTCATTATTCTGCTAGCTTTACTGAAATACCAGAAGCACTCTGATTCTTACTCGGTTTTACTTGGAGTTTGCAGTGTCAGAAGAAGAGCTGCTGCTTCCAACATGAACACCTGACCTGAATGCTGGGAACTACCAGGGGCAGCACCTTCAGTACACTGCTAGCGCCTGACTCCATGCCCCAGTAGGTTACACTGGTCCCTTTAGCCATTGCACTTCACCATACTAAATATAATTCTCTCAATGACTGAGAGCTAGCTCTGACAACACTTAAATACAGCTTACCAGAGGCAGGAATCAGCCCCAGGAAATAACAAGCATCATTTCTCGCAGGGAATTTGCACCTTTTTATGCTCTAATTACTTCTGCATGTCCAGGTAGTAGCAGCTGTCAGCCTGCTTTATCTACACATGATGGGAAAGTTACTTTTTTTTCTTTTGAATGTTGACCCTGCCAAAATTGTTCCCATTTTCTCACCAAGTGGCTGAATTATTGCAAAGTACTGTACAAGGGACAGTGTGGTTACACCATTCAGAGGCTGCAACTGCACAGCTCCTCTGTAGTACTTCTCATTAGGAGCACTCTCACCTGCTTTGACCATCATTCTCTAGTTGAAATTCCAGGTGCATTTTAGACAGAGAAAACTAATAAGGATGATTAGAAATATCAAATGACTCCTATGTGAGAAGATGAGATAAACTTTAGCTTTGAACAGAAATAACTGAGGAAGGATCTGATGGAGGTTTGCAGGAAGTATTGCAGGAAGAAGGGTAGAAATTTTAAAATAATAGAAGAAAGTATTTTTTCACACAACAAATCATCAGACTTGGAACTCACTACCCCAAGATGTTGTGGATGCCAAAATCAAGCTATTAAATACCAAGATGTGGATATAACCTTCATCTCAGGTTGCTGGAAGCCAGAAGAGTACAATGGAGGAAGACTGAGGCGTCAGTTACTCTACTTATACCCACTTCACATGAGCATCTGATGAGAGCCACCAGAGCAAACGGGATATGAGTCTACACAAGCCTAGGATCATGTCAGACTGACCAAAACACTTAGCTGTCCTTTCGGAGGGACATCCACCTCCCCTCGAAGCATCTGCATGTTTCTCACATGCTGAAAATTGTAAACGCCTGTGGTTAAACATCTTCCGGTGTTCACTGAACAGGAGGATGCATTTACAGGAGAATGTTTATCTGGTATTTGTTTCCTATCCTGTTTTGCTGGAGCCCAGTATCCATGGCTTTGGCAAAATCTCTTGTAGAAGTTGTAATAGAGCCTGTGTGACTGGTGAAAGACTATGGGGATACTCATTTATGGGACTTACGTAATTTCACTTATCGAAACCATTGTTTTTAAATTGCCAGTGGGACTAATCATCACGTATACTGGAACTCCTTTGCCCTTCCCTTGTATTTTAAGGAGACTCTAGAGAAGGTGCAAACATCATTTACATCTGAGAACAGGGCCAAGAGCTCATTAGCATGAACAAGAACAAGGCTTATAATGTGCTCAGCTGTAAGCACAGATCTGACCCTGACTCTCAGGTCTGCTAGGTTCACTTTGTGCTGGTTAAACAGTGTAAAGGGGATGTAAAGCAGCCAGAGGCCACTGCTAGAGAATTCCCCCCAACTAGGCTGCAATTCTCTTGCCCTAAATCTTGAGGGTGTAAATTCAGCGTTGACTCTCTGCAGCTTTTCTGCACATTAGGAATAGGCAGGGAAGACTCAAAAAGCTACAACCAGCACTTGACATCATGACTTGAGCAGAGGAGGGTGATGTAAAGTCTGAGTATGTAAGTCAAATGCAAATGACTGGGAGTAGCTGGTATTTGCAGTCTTGCTGGATCACATTCTTCAGTGCATAAGAAGCACTGTTTAGAAGTACATGAAGCTGAGCTTTTAAGGTATTTAGTATCTCCAGGGGCTGCTGCAGTAAATGGGAACTGTAAGTGTGCAACACTTCACAGAAGTCAACTTAGGCATCCTTGTGCATTATGATTTTTATTTTTTAAAACTTTTTTAAAGTGACGTGTGTGTTTTGTATTCTGCTGGTGGTGAAGTTTTCCCATAAATAAAAGATACTGGAGTACTGTGTCCAGCTCTGGGGCTCCCAGCATAAGAAGGATGTAGACCTGCTCGACCGAGTCTAGAGGGCCACAAAGATGATCAGGGAGATGGACCACCTCCCTTATGAGGACAGGCTGAGAGACTTGGGGTTGTTCAGCCTAGAGAAGAGAAGGCTCTGGGGAGACCTTACAGAGGCCTTCCAGTACTTAATGGGGGCCAACAGGAAAGGTGGGTAGGGACTCTATCAGCAAATGCAGTGATAGGACAAGGGATAACAGTTTTAAACTGAAAGAGGGTAGATTTAGATTAGGTATAGGGAGGAAATTCTTTCCTGTGAGGGTGGTGAGGCACTGGCACAGGTTTCCCAGAGCAGCTGTGGCTGCCTCCTCCCTGGCAGTGTTCCAGGCCAGGTTGGACAGGGCTTTGAGCAGCCTGGTCTAGTGGAAGGTGTCCCTGCCCTCAGCAGGGGGGTTGGAACTACATGGTCTTTAAGATCCCTTCCAACTCAAACCATTCTGTGATTCTATGATTTATTAAGGAAGAACATGACACTGCTGTGCAGTCCAAGAAGCCACAGTTCCCTTCCTTCCTCCCCATTATTGTGGGGACACAATGTAGTGATTTAAGCCAGGTGGCATGTTGGGAAAAGTCTTGTATTTGCTGTTTCAAGGAGAGGAGAGACTATACCATCATAAACTACCTTTTCTCTTCTGCTTTCTTCCTTATTTGTGACTTATCTCTTCTGTCATGGCCTGGACCACCTCACAACCCAAGGTTTTGTAAGTATCCAAAGGACACCAATGGAAGAAACACTGCAGAGTGGGTGCAGCCCCTCATAATAATGCAGCACATTGTAAATGTAAATGAAACAATTTACTTTGCAGTGTTCAAAAGGTTAAAAATGCATCTCATGAATACATCTCTGTAGCTGAGAAGAATGATACTGTAGAACAAAAAGCAGCCAGAGATATTGTTAGAGAGATTTTTGTCTCTTTCTTCCCAAGGGAAAAAAGCTAATCTGAGTAATGGCCCTGAGGAGCAAAGTTCAGAGGATGCTACCCTGCAGTGATCTTTCCAACACTGTCTTGCCAGAGGATGGATGAGATTGTGCCAACTGACCCCTGGGATCCATGAAAAAGGTGAGGGTCTTGTGCCCTTAAAGACTTCATGGTCGGCTTCCTGACCCTGCAGTTTCACTGCAGCTAGCATATTAGTGATTTCCCTTGTGCAGGCTGCTGCAGCACTCGTCATAGAGAGTGATCAGGATGTTGCATAAAACCAATTTTAGAATAGCTCCAGCATGTCCTATCTGACTGGCTTTGGCATGGCTGAGCAAGGATACTGGAAAGTGTCATCTGACCCTTCTGGCTACTGTGTTCTCTCTCCATGGGGGACCACTGACCATATCTCAGAGGCTGTCACAGAACCCAGAGGGAGGAAACGGCCCCCTCAGCATACTTACAGTGTGGGAAGAGATGAGTAGGAGGGTGAGCGTGATTTGGACCATGGTCAGTATACAGCTAAGAACACCTGTGCTGCTGCTGTTGTCCTACAGTGGAGCATCTCATAAATAGTCCAAACTGCCTGAGTGAATGAGATGCCCAGGTTTTTTGTTTTACGGATTCCGGAACATACCTTGGCAATGTTACAAAGGTCTGTCTTTCTCCCGAGTCTTTTTATAAACAGTGTAACTTCTGTTAAAGAAGAAGAGGCAGATGTTTCATATCATTAATATTTTACAGTCTAAAAGATGTTAATAAAGACCGATCTTTTAAGTTAGAAAGTAGATCCCTAGGGGAGCTATGGAGGCTAGTGAAGAGCACAGAGGGGGCAACTGAGCCAGCGTTATGGGCTGGGCACCCTTGCCGTTTAAAGCTTGCAAGCAGAAGCTGCCCAGGTCACCACTCTTCCTTCACTGCAAATGTGTTAACCCATAACACACAGGAAAAATCGTTCCAATATTTTTTTTACATTAAATACTTCTTAATCAGGACTTTTATGTGTATGGTTTAAGGTGAATGAAGGCAACGTTAATTCTAAACCTCCTATATTTTGTTCAGAGTGCTTGGATTTACACCTTTATGCATCTATAATTCTGTAGCACTGTTAGTAGTAGTTTGTTTCTTTGGTTCTATCTTCTCCTGTTTATAATGTGTTGTAATTATATCAAGCATGGTCCAAGAATATCCTTTTTAAGAATAAAATAAAAATAACTGATTCTTAGTTACAAGGAAATTTAATATAAAGCAACTTACAAACCTGTAGACAAACAATGGTTTTCAAGTGAAAATTTCTGTTTCCCTGAAGTTTGTACAAACCAGAAAGACCAGGATGTATATACAGAGGGTTGCAGCTGATTAATTACATTTATTTCCATGCACACACGTTAAAAACATATTACTAACTTTGCTCTGTCAAGCATTCAAATGTAAGAAATGCCAGAGCCATAGTTTCTCTATGGGACTATGGCTTTTTTTCCCTTTACACTGTATTGCACTATAGCCGTTAATTAATTTATCTGCATAAAACCACTTGCAAAGTGAAGAGACAGAACAATACCTAAATTTCAGAGGGCAGACTGCATATTATTCAGTCATTTACACAGCCAAAGCGATCATGGTGAGAGACAGATCTTTAAAAAGATTCAAGTACACTTTAATTTATCATGAATTGGGAATAATTTTGTCTTAAATTTGTTCTCACATATTATCTGAGACTATTTATTTTCAACTGTATCCCAACAACTCTATTCCTCATTACTACTGGTTACATCAGCTAAAAGTGTTTTAAAAATGATTTCTGTAAGAGTCTTGTAATACAATCTTCTGTGCAGTTTAAGCAAGGATTATTTTATGAAAATCTCTCTATTACTCACACGTACCTTGAGATTTGGATGTTTGGAGTGGTAACGGAAACTCTTCCAAAGCATTAAGCAGCCAAAGTTCAACATTTTTACTGAACAATCTGATTGAGTTCATGTGTTGCACAGGCACCTCCTCCAGGAAATCATGAAATAGGATGTTCTCTATTTCCTAGAATACAAATTAATGGAGCTGCACATGATTGGTGTACTACAGATATTTACAGCTGAATGAAACAAAATTGTATTGATAGTTTAATTGTAAAGAAGTCTGTCTTTTTCTTCCAATTAAACGATAGCTAAGCTACCTTTATTTAGTAGAAGGAAAAAGATCCTAACAATAAGTGTAGTTTTCTCAATTAATTACTAGACGCTACTTAATGACCTGCTGTAAACAAGAATCAAATTATTTTGATCAGAAAACTGCATAATTCTACATGGGATGTCGCCAAGAAATGCAGTAGTGTTCTCAAAGGAAAAATAACTCTTGTAATTTGGAAAACAGTTAGCAGTCGAAATTTCAGTCACATAACCTCACGCCAGAACCACAGACCACATTTATAACAGCGGACTCCATTAATATTAGGGAGTTTCAAAGGAATATATAGGAGAAAAACAGAAGTTAACTCAAATTCCACTGTCTCCTTTCAAAATCCATACTGTGCTGTCTCAGAAAAAGTCAAAGAACAGATTTGAGGTACGAACAAAAATCCCATTGTACAGCATGCAAGAAACAGCTGGCTCTTCTCCTCAGGTAGAGCTATCAAAAAGGCATAAACACTTAATAACATAATTACAACAAACAAGTGTGCTTACAGTACCTTGTATAGATGCCTATCATAGTGTTTGAACAGCTGGCATACATCTGTCAAGGACATCAGTGCTATTCTTTCAGGCTGCAGAAACCTCCAGAATGACATGATACAGTCTTCCACCTGTTGCGCAAAGTCCTTTATGAATTTTCACTGATTTTATACTTGTGAAACATAATTCAGTACAAGAACACAGATAAGCCCAGAAGCAAAAGAATGACAGTGGAGCTGGGCTCTGCCTGGCCCCATCCTGGCCAGGCTCCAGCGTAAGTGGAAGCATCCTGGGGCAACAAGCTGAAGCTCACAAGGCAGCATAAGAAAGAAGAGAGAAACAAATTGTGCCATGGATATGTGGATATAACGAAAGGTATGTGTCCATGGCCTTGTGTTTTGTTCTGGGCTCAGACCTGCTGATGTGCCTGGAGTGCTCAGGATATGCCTACAAACTCAGATTCTCAGAGCATGTTGTGTTAATTAAGACTTTGCAGACCATTTGACTGAATGCTCATTTATCTATAAATGATCACCTACCTTAGATCAAACCATCAATAAGCTACACAGAAACAACTGTATCCTTAGACTTGTTTGCTGTCATCAGAATGAGTGTTATTAAATCAAAAGCATACCTTATCAAGCTCGCTCTTTCTCACCATATGTAAAATATCTTGACAATGTCTGTAGTAGTCATTGGCAAGCTGTACCTGGAGAAGGTAACCAAAACAAGAGTACAGAAAGATCACGCAGGCAAAGAGCTAACTCACTTGCTGACCATATACTTGAACGTACCATTTCATAGGAGTATTTCATCTCTAGCTCTTGCTCCGAAAGAGAGATTGTGCTGAATTCAGGCCAAGAGTATTGATATTCCTCTTGTTCAATCTTCAGATAAATGACAGATGAAGAACAGTCCAAATTCTTGCTCTCAATGAAGCAGGATTTATTTTGAACAATTTAAAAAAAAATCACAATTATCTTGTCAGTTATGTTAAAGGTATTAAGTACTTTCTTGAAATTGTATAACATGATTTTTTTAATAAGATGTATTTCTTCAGAGAAATGCTTGTCCTTTTTTTTAGAAAGTAGGGGTGGATGAAAGAAACAAGCATGGCTGACTAAATATTTAAATCCTAAACAGTACATGAGTTTCTTTTCAAAACCAGTGAATATTTAATGCTATACATATCTTCCACATATCGTCTTTCCATAGCACTCATGTCACAGTTGTAACCTTCTAAATAAGGCTGCAGATAGTTGGCTCTGCTGTCGGGGGTGACGGCACATTCCTCATCAGCTGTCATTACATCCACTTCAGAGCACTCATTACTGCACCCGAGTGCTCCGTAAAAATAAGACAGACATCCAGTCTCTCCTTTTTTCCTCACTTTGGTCCACATAATTTTGTTGCTCATGCTCTGCTGGCTGACTTCCAACAACCTCAGTATCTAGCCATCCCATGACAGCACACTTATGGGAGAACTGCCACAGGTTAAGTCTTGCATCTACCCTTTTCAGTGAGCAGGGGTTGCGCTCTTTTTTATTAATCATTTCCTAGTATTTAAATACTTGTTGTGCCAATAGACTCTGAGCACATTGAAAAGACACCAGCTCAGCAGCATGAGGGTCTGTTACCGCAGGCCTCAGGCAAGGAAGGTTGTGCCCCACTAACTCCCATAATACTCAAAACCTGGGCTGTCAGCCACAATTTCTGCTCTCAGCACAGATAAAATTATTTGAGCTGACGTTAAGACAACAAAAATATTTAGCTACCAGGTGAAGTAGGAGTGGGGGAAGGAAGCATTTAGTGAGATTATGCAGACAAAGATTATGTTGAAGAAGATGATGGGTTAACTGTATCTCATCAGGACCTATTATATAGCATTTCTAATTAAGCACACAGACAGACATTTTGTTATAAGTCTAATGTATCTGAAACTCACTGTTCTTTCTTTTTGGCTATTGCTCTTGTAACCAGCTGCATCTCCAGAACTGCAGGCGTTTCCACTGTGGTAAAATATACAACAGAAAAAAAAAACCCAACTTTAAAAGCCCACCAATTTATCCTGTATTTAGTAAGAAAATGAGCTCACACTGGATAAAGTGCACTAGATTGGAGCATCACATTTGGGAAACAAACCCCACTCTCCTTCCTGTCATTCAGCAGCCCCATGATTTTCTAACGAGTCTGGAGATCAATTTCTTAATATTAAGATAAAACCGAACCATTCATTATAAAGATGGCAAAGTATTAGCCATTTAACAGCGCAATGTCTTCCAACTTCTTGCACCAAAATAGTGGGTTTGTATTTGTAGTTGCAGTTTATTTGGAATGATAATGATAATGATAAACATGCAAATAATGAAAGCATAATCATCCTTGTGCTTTGATTTCACAGTTTAAATTTTCTGCACCCTATATCAGTTTAGATGGAATTCTGTTTCTGCCTTTCCCCCTTTAATTTGCAAACATGCCATGATGTTGCACATGGTCAGAATTCACCTGGACCTGCAAAGGCCTGAGCACTGGCTTTTGGTTGAAAAGCCAGGGATGCAGGCACAATAGACTGCTTTCTTGCTTTACCATCTACCTCTCTCCCTGCCCGTTTTGTTGAGGCTGATCCTACAGGAGGGAGAGGCAATGTTGCTAGTAAAAGGGACGTGCTGTGAGAGTTGGATTCCTCCAATCAAGCCCCCATCTGCTGCTGACACCTGCTCGCTGTCTGTGAAGGCATTTCAAACTCCAGGGTCCTTTTGGACTCGGCTGTTTTGAAGGGTGACAGGCAGGGGCTTTGTAGAAAATGTGCTTCCACTGGTGAGTTCTAACACTCAGGCTATCAAATCAGATCCTGGCTGCTGGCTTTCACTGCTGTCATGTATTATAAACCAGGGTACCACCATACGTCCTGAAGGGACAGAGGACAAAATGTAACAGCTTATCTGCCTGAAAACTCAAGCCACTTAAAATGCCTCCTCTCACTTTTCTACCGTCCATAGGACTGACCCTTGCCACCTGAAAAAATTACTTTTCCCTCCACCACTGCTCTCTGCCTTGAAGGTAGTGCTCCAGTGGAACAACCAAACTGACTGACAGGGCACAACATTCACTTTGGGTATGTTTGGGAACTCTGTTGACTCTTTCTCCCAGATATTTTAGGGTTGGTGGCCGGACAAAGGGAAGAATGTGTAAGTAGAAATGTTTCATAACCCTTCTTTCAAATGGGTCCTTCCTGCAGATTTCTAAAGCCTGTGAAACAAAATTAATGAATATTTTCCAGCTCCTGCTCTCCCTGAGAAGGCGGCCAGCTGTATCTTCTTCTGCTGCTACTATGGCAACACATATCAGCATTGCTCTCCTCCAGTGGGCTGGCTCCCGCGTCAGGCTGGCTCCCCGCTCCCCCCAACACAGGGATGGCGAGGTGTGAGAAGGGGTGCTGCGTGGGTCCTCCTGCGCCCCAGCAGCCAGACGGGAGCTCAGTGATGATTATGTGCAAATACCTGTGGAAAGCTAACATCTACGTGCTCCCGCTGTTAGCAAATGAGGTTTGGACTCACCCGGTACCCACAGAGGTGTTCAGCTGACACACAGAGCTGCTCACTTTCCCTGAAGAGCAGTGCCTCAGTAAAGATGGGCTGAATAAAGACAGAGCACACAAAAGAGGATGTTGGTGGGATAAGGGTAAAACAGGCGATGGCAAAATCACAAGGCGTCTCAACATATCTCTTGCAGAGTTTGGATGATGCTATGGGGTGGGAACTAGAGCTAAAATGAGGAATACAATGATGGGGATGACAGAAAGACTAACAGAGAAGGCAAATGGGAAGGACAAAGGAAAAATGAAAGGAGGGAGGGTTGTGAATATGTATGCTGTTGTCTGTCAGATTAGACTGAGATTAGAAAAGCTAATTTGCTAGAATCAGATCAGATTTTTTTTTTTAAATTAAAAAATCATGGGTTTGCTTCACTAGAAAGTCAGAAGCCCAAACCTTCCCTATTACTAGAATCATACAGTAACTCTTACAAAACCAAAATTTGCTAGCATTTTTTTAACACTGCTGTACCAGAACAAGTACTGTTTTAGGGAAAGCTTGTCCTCAAAGCTCCCATTCCTAGAGGGCACCCTACTGTAATGCAAATCAGTAAATACCATATTCCCTTAAATCTCCATAATACATTTGGACACCTCATTGATTACAGTTGTGTTTATTTACACTACATTCATAACATCATCATCAGAGCTGTGGCACACATATCTCAAAAAAATCCAAGATTTCTAAATGAGTCGACTCACAGGTGCTGTATCCTCATGACTCCTCGTGTGAACTCATTCCAACCCAGCCAACTGATACATCTGAGGCCCCACTACTACCAAAAGGCAAATGCCTTCTTTGTAGTCAAAGGCAAACTATTATAATCTTACTGCCATTTCTATGACACCAACAAGCACAGCTCCCAGCCTGCCAGATCCTGCACGGGTCTAATTCCTCACTGCCAGCACCATGTCAATTGCCAGCTATCTCAATATGGTCAAGAAATATTCTTTTCAGTAATTAGAGAGAGAGGATCATAGTTTTGAAACCATCCTTTTCTTCACCAACCTGTAGGCTGGGGATGCCTTGGCTTCTCAACCAGGCTCCCAGCCCCACCTTTCCCTCAGGTGGGTGCAACAGAAAAAACATCTGCATGTTGAACTCTATTCAGGCATGGGAGGGAGCAGTAGTCATTTTGGACATGTTCACTACTCCAACAGGCATCTCCTGTCTCTGACAGGGAAATGGCAACAAGCCAGACAAGTATATCCCATTAGCAGGGTCTGGTCCACAGGCCAGCCTTTCAACTGCACTAAAATGGTATATTTAAAATCTTCTTCACTGTATTTTGGAAATTTACACAACAACACACTCTCAAAAATTGAGAAGTTTTTTTAAGTTAATTGCTGCAATTATATGATTACTTCCATGAGAATAGAAGTTGTTCCTGCAGGTAGAAAAGTCTTCAAGTTTTCATTACTCTTTTTCTAAATTTCAATTTTCTAATTAAAAAAAAAAAAACCACTAAAATTTGGCATTGATGGTTTTATCAATTTCATTGGATCATAAAAAATTAATTCTCATTTCAAAAAGTACTGAAACCTACTGAGAGGACAGTAAAGATGAGGTATTTTCTTGATGTGTTCCTATCTATTTGCAAAGAACATCCAAAACTCACTGCAGATGGAAACAAACTCACTTATTGGGTTGAAGGTGCTGCTTATTTTGTATGTGACCTAATTATTTCTTTCGGAGTTGTGTTACTCATGCTTCTCTGGCTGTGTTTTGTGCTTTTTTTATTGCTTTCTCTCTATTTTTTCCTGCTGTCCTTTATCAGATACTAAGAAGTAACTGTGGCACCCAGCTGCCCAGGTGTTGTGGATCCGCATATTGGCTTGGGACAGGGACATGTGGCTGCATTTAGAGTGGAAGCTGTTCTAATTTCAGGTGTCTGGCTTCACACAACAGCTTAGTACATAAAACTGTCTTAAATGAAGGAAGCATGAGACAAGATAATTTTGTCCTTACGAGACTTTTCTACTATTGCAACTAGAAAGATTATCTTTGTCTGAATACAATCATTATATTTTGATTATTTTTTTTTTTTTTAATCTGGGAAGTTATCTCAAGAAACTATATCAGGATCACTCGATGGCTGGTTGATGTCAGCCCTTTCCCTGGAATACACCTCTTTTTCCTTGGTTTGACCAAAATAAATATATTTTTTTAGGAGTTAGTCTGGGCAGACACCCCTGGCAGCTGGTGGAGGAAAGGGAGGCCTGCAGACAGTGCAGCAGCTTCTCCATGGTTAAGCATGGGCTACAGCATGTTCCCCAGCCCATCAGAGAACATGGCTGGTTTCCATGAGGAAGGCCAAGGACAGAAGCTGTGCTGGCATATGTGGTGCTTCTGGCTCCCAGCAATGGCTAAAGTCCTTGTCTGTGCACCTGGCCCAGACTTAGCCAACATCGCTTCCTTGGTTCCCTCTACCTTTTGTAATTTTTCCTCATGTTTCTATGCTGGGAGGAAAAAGAGCAACAATTCAAGTTGTTCTGTTCTCTCTCATCTATTCTATGACCAGAACTAGCAGCTCTCCTACTATGCCCAGCAAGACTGATGTTTTCAAGTGACGTTGCAGGGAAGCACCTTTCTTTCCTTGAAGACCATCAGAGACTCAGCCAGAGACCTGCAATGTTACTGGAACAGTGGCCAACACCTTTCCCTCTTATGGATGTCAAATCTTAGGCCTGTTCTGGTTATACTGAGTGCACAGGTAGTGAGGAATACCACTTCAGTAAGGGTCTCATAGGAAACGATCCTTGAGTTGCCAATGAATAATTTGTTTGGTCTTACAACAACCAACTGCCACTTGATCATCTGCAGAACCTGATCCTCTACCCTGTCCCATTCTTTACCGTTGTCACTCTATGGACTTCTGCAACATTACTCTGCTATAAAACTCATCAAGGCAACAAACCTATGGGTATACTTTTTACATGCTCTTGCAGAACATGTACTCAATTAAGTAACTATAATATAAAATATCACAGACACTGGAACAGTTTCATCATCACTAGAACACCTGGGTGCTTAACAGGCTGACCTGTATACCTCTAACATTCACGCTATAGAAAAATACTATATCTTTGTATTAAAGAATGGAAGCCAAAGTACAGAATTTATCCACATATACATCAAAGTAATGTACCAGTCTGTAAAAGTGAGGATACAAGTCTGGTCTCCAAACTCCAAGGCATTGGCTTCACCTATTTTTCCTCTCCTGGGCATTTAAAAGGAGTGTAAAACTGTTATGGAGTGGCAGCACTTCCCTTCCTGTTTTCTGGGGAGAAACGCAAGCCTGTGATTTAATTCAACCAGGAGCTTAACCATGAGAGCTCTTCCTTGCCTGCCCACAACCAGACCATGCTCACGTCTACACCTTAGGCTGCCAAAGTATCTTACATTAATCAATTATTTTTAGACTTTTTTTGTTTTTCAGTTTATACTTGTCTTACACATTTTCTCATTGTTGTTCCCTTACAATAGGTTATTTTAAAATCGAAATTTTAAAATAAAGTGAAGGAAGTATTTTCAAAGTAATATGCCTCATTGTTTCATATAGTAAAAAAACCCCAGATAGCATGATTGCATTTCAAAACAGTGCAGTCATTTATACTTTAATACATGTCTCTTCAGCCTACTATTTAATAAGGAAGATGCTACAATGTCATGAAGCTATTTCGATATGTTTATAATTATGTTATATTATGTTATATCCTATTATAATAATATATAAAATATATTAGAGTCTCAATATATATTTTAGATTTGGCACGAGTTCCTGCTCTTAAGGTCTACAGGGCTAAAATGTCCAATTCAAGGAAGACCGATTAGGCAGGGCATGTTTTCAAAATGGAGCTTGTCTATTAGGTTGCAGCACTTAATGGCACAGCACTTTTATTGTGTGTATAAGAGTAAGAAAAATATAATACTGTTGTCAGTGTTAAAAAATTATTTACAGACTTTTATGGACAGACAATATATAGACCATCATATGACTTTTTATGATTAAAACATTTTAAAAAACAAACCTGTAATCATTTTTTTCACACAGAAGAGAGTAATAGTGTGCATAAAAGGTAGAGTTCTCCTTGATAGCTATTCCATCATAATGATACCTACAAAATAAAAAAAACCCTGACAATCATGATTTTCAACAAGTCAGCAGATAATTCATATTTCTCCTTTGAAAGCAGATTACCATTCTATTTAAACAAGAAAAGGTCAAGTAAAAAAAGCGACATTTGTTTTTTAAATTCTCTTGTAAATTTATTTTCCCTAACAGAAGATAATTGCACAAACTCTTCACAAACTCTGTTTAACAGTTTTTGTCCTGGAATAATACCTTCTTCTAAATGAAAAAAACTTAAGCCAGGAAATGGGGTGCAACAGATTTCTAGACATCAGCTAGAAAAGTCAGGGCCCAGAGTCTGAGCTGGTAAAGGACCCCGTATGTCCATGGAAGTTGAAGGATTTAGTGTAGTTGTTCTGCAGCCATTCACAGTAGCTTAGGGACTGGCTGGCCCATCAGTGGTCATGACAAACTAAAAGCCAAGAAACCTGCCAGATCTTCTCTATGGTTTATCCTGACCTCGGTGAGCAGCGGAGTCGCCATCCAGGCTACCCAGATGCTACCAGCTGGCTCTTCCTAGGCTGGGTCCCTGGGAAGCCAGGGGAGCCGCCCCTGCAGGGGTTTTTGGCCACTGGCAGCCAGCAGATGGTAACCTTCTGCTGATGGGAAGAGAAAGCATGGAGGCTGGGAACTATCATGTACTGTCCCAAATCCTGAAAGCTATGAAGAGAAGCCTGGGAGTGTCTGTGGTGAGGCACTCCCAAAATAAAGGATCTTGCTGGATCAAGCAAGTCCAGACTAGTGGAGAAAAGTCTCAGATCAAGTAAGGGCATGTTAGTCTCAAAGCAAGTACTTGACAGATACTCAAAGTTCTTGTAAAATTACTGAGTCTCAATGCCCTTAAAACATCCTTTTTTACAGTCTGGATGTTCAGAGTGTGATTATAAATTTGGACATTGATTCAATGAAAGAGTATTGAAATCTCTGTGCTCTAGAAGAGAGGGAAAAGAAAAGAAAGCACATGTAGGAGGAGGATCTGAGGAGGTCTGATTTGAATGGTTTTCAACTGTTTACAACATTTCCATTGACCACCAGTACATGCTGGGTCACTCCACAGATATGTGCAAGGATGAAAAGCACAACACAGACATTAATCACGGCTGCCACCCCCATGCATCCTGGAGCCAGACTTTTCTGACCTGGTGTCTCAAGAGCTCTGAGTAAGGTTGTGATGTCTGGCAGATGCCTCATGCAAGCCATGCTGTACAGTACAATAGCCAGTACAAATTGGAACACTAATTTTTTTAAAACCAGTCTGATCTGGAGTTTATGCCCTACCAAAGCAGCTCTGACGTAATTTTCATGGAATTAACTCTATTTTAATGTACTTGGTGACATCATGAATCACTTTGGATCTTGCAATGTATTAAAGACTTGCAACCAACAATTCAGCTGCTGTATTACAGTGCTGGAGCTGAACATTCAGCCATTTAAAAATTTTATTAGAACAGTTATAAACAGCTTATTTAAACAAAAGGAAGCAAACCAATACCTGATATTCCCTCTTCTGCCCAGTCTTCTTGTCCTCAGACCTGGGAAAACTGACTGAATAAGCTGAAAAAAACAAACAGAAAATTAGAGATGCTTGGCAAATTCATTCTAAAACATGAAAATATATCTGCTACATTTTTTTCTTCTTAATCACTTCCTTTGCTTTCTACCATTTGCAGGCTAATACCTGTTCTTACCTCTCAAATGGTAACTGTTGAACTGAACTCAATCAGGCTTTTGTGGATCAAAACCTAAGTAAATTAAGGGATTACCTCCCTCAGGAATTTTTTTAGACTACTCTGTTTTACCTTGCACTTAAACATGGTCAGTGCATAAATGAGGAGACCACCCACAGTCAGGTGGGGTATATCAGCTAGGGGAACTTGAAGGTGCCATGGTTCTCCAGTACTCTTCCAGTCCTCCAAGCCTTACTCATTTGAGTAGGGCTTAAACAAGGGACTTCACCTACCTACTCAGTCTTGCAAGGAGTAGTTGCAGGATAAGGCCTGATGTATCTGTTTTAAAAAGACCTGAATCATCAAGTTGCAAAGCAACTTTTGACCACCATGGTGGTCAATGTGAACTGAGGTCACATAGTGTCTGTTAAGGTTAGGCCCTACAGAGTAATAAGATACTGTCAGGGTAATAATGCACTTCACTATGATTATTCTGCATGAGCTGTTCCGTGAAGACAGAGACTAACTCAGGACAGCTGGAGCTAACATTTCCTATATAGCAGGAACAGAGGGCTGAGTACTCAACATTAGTGAGGCGCAAGAGGAGCCTCTGCTCAGCAGTGCAAAGCTTGGACTCCATGCAAAGTGTACTTTGCTGGTCCAAAAGGCTGATAAAGGACAAATTTTCCCAACTCACACTAATGTGCACCTCCAGTTACAACAGTGCTGGAGTGTTCCTGTTCTTTGCACCTTTCTGCATGCACCAACCCCAGCTGCTCCCTTTCTCAAACTGGTGTTCTAGCATAATCCCATTCTCCTAGGACAGCCTATGAAACTGGGGCTTCTGTGGCATGAGACACATACTTCCCACTACCTCTTCTGAAGAGATGGTGGTGTATTTGGGCAGAGGGATATGGCAGATGAGACTAGTAGTGTCTTAAATCATCACAGTTTGATTCACATGGGGCTTGACTGCAAAAGTCCTTACAGTCTACATGCACGTAATGCAGTCAGGTTACTACAGCTTGATGAATTATTAATATCTCAGCCCATTAGCTAGGCTGTGGTAACCAATTCCATGTGCACCTTTAGTTTTAAACTAGGGTTGCTGCAGTTCCTGCCCTCCTCAGCCTTTTCCTGCATGGTCCCACTTTCTGCTGCAGAAGGATAGATCATTTCAAGACATCGGGGAGCTTCACCCCAGCTTGCTCACTTGGGATATGTTAACTTGCACCGCAATGCACTGGGTGGGTTAAGGCTGTGAGCAAACAGTTGCAAGCACCAGCCTATAGCAGCTATGTCTCATCAGCTAAGCTCTTCTGCGTGACCAGACTCATGCTTCATACATGCCTGTCACAACTTAAAAGTAAAATGCATTAATTTAAACCACAAGAAGGCTTAGCTTACAGGTGGTAACTCAATCATGCTGGGGCACCTGAAAGTGTACCGACAGGATGGGATTAATCTTACCTACGTGGTTACAAGGTGGAGGTGTCTAAGCTAGTTGCTGCAGAGTCTGGAGTCAGTGGAGAAAAACAGGCAGTTCTGAGGCACATTTCATCTGGGCTGCCTGAGATGGCCCACTTAGGGTGAGAGGAACAGTATGTAACTTATTTCTCTCCCTTGGCTACCAAGAGATTTTAAGGTGACTAGCTTCACAGCAGACATCTACCATGAGCCAGGCACATTCAACCCATGGGCTTGGCTGATGGGTGATGATCCATTAAGCTATCATAATAAATCATACCGGAACACGCAAATCTTAATTTTAAGTAAGTGTGATTTAACTTAGCCAGTAAAAAAATATAAAATAGATTCAAGTGAATTGAGATAAATTATTCATAAAGTGAGGTTATCTGCACAAATGAAATTGATTTCAGGTACAACTTTTACTTAAATTATTTTGGTTTTGTGTTAGAAAAATGTTTAGTAGGTTCTACTATGGGCACTAATAGAATAATATTAGAGTAAAATAGGAAATTCTGAACAAAAAGTCTTAGTAACAAATAATCACAAGGCATTCTATCTTCCTTAATTTGTTAAACAAAGTTGAATAGCTATGAGTGTTTGTTGCAATTGGCATTTCTAAGTGGTAATTGCTCTGTGGGTTGTATCAACCTCCAGGTATTAGAAAAATTGAACTATTTGAAGAAGATTGGGTTTTATAGCTGCATTTGTTTGGCTTGGATGATTCTATAACAACTTTTTTTATTGTGTGTTTGGAGAAAATTCTCCATAAGTATATTTAAATAGGAAAGTACAAAATTATGTAACAATTAGAGGGGTCTTTTAAGGACAGAAGAATCAGCTTCTCAGGACAAGTTTATTGGCGCTGTTTACCCTGGTAAAGCTTTCTAAAATATACTGGCAAAAAAAGTCTTTGTTAGTATAACATATACCAGTTCCCCGAAGAAAATAAACTGCACCACAAAGAAATTTTCTCTAGTAAAAAGTGTCCACACTCTACACACAAGAGGTCTTACCAGAAATACATTGGAAAAGACACAACCATAATACATTACATATTCACTCTTCTCTGTTACTTAATCTCTTTTGATATGCAGTACATATACTTGATAACCAGATTTTCTGTTTAGGTATCTCTGCTTCTTATCTTATATATCCTATCTACTCTGTACCTTTCCAAAGGTGGCTGCATTTACTCGATACTTGTCATTTGGACTGCAGCTTCCCATACATAACTCATATAGTAGCCATTTGGGTACAAGGCCTCCTTCACACAAATAGAAATTATCAGATACCCTTTAAAACAAACAAACAAAAAAACAATGGGTTTAAGTCACAATTAGAAGAAATAATTTTTAACCTGTGATTGTAATAGGTCACCAGGTTTATGGTATACTCTGTAACAGTTACTATGATTCTATAGAAGCATAGAATAAAAAAAATTTAAAAAGAGCTACTATTTTTATGTTAATCTGTATTCTGGGAAAAAGATATACTTCTTATATGTGTATATATATGTATATGTATATATATATATATATATATTCTATGTTTGGTTTTAGCTTTTTAAGTTCTACTTTCCTGGTTTCTGGAGTGTAAAGAGAGGTCATGGGAGACTCTGCTAATAAATTAACTAGATAGTTTTTAATAAAAAAATACCACTTAGTAATATCATTATAAAATCAACACCAATACAACAAATATTAACATCTCTCTAATAGGTTGCACCTTTGATCTTCTAATTATAGAGTTCTCCACTATACCAAAGATAATATGATGAGAATTTTTCCATCTAAAATGTCCAATATGATGTTTAGGGATAGAGAGTACACGAACTATGAAGGACCAAAGCCTGTTCTCATACAACCTCACTGATTTTATCACAAGTTCAATAAGAGAACAAAATTTTAATTTACAGTTACTATGTAACAGAATTGTCAGTACTAAAGCTGGTTTAGGTGTTTAAATATTCATCCTTTGGCTAAATCACTTACTCATCCTACTTATCAGAATGGCCATAGTCAAGTAAATGCAACTACTTGTGTGAATAAGGTGAGGAAGATGTAAACTTAGTTACTTATGAGCCTAAGGTATTACCTTCATCAGAAAAAAAAAAAAACCCAAAAACCCTTTAATTATGAGATAATGCAACGATTTCAATGTCAGAAGATAACAGCCTCCTGCAGTACAAATACAGGAGCAAAGCTGGAGCAAGGAAGCAGAGGAGATTAATTTTCAAAGCATGACACACTGATCATATGACAGTGTTTTCTGACTCTGCTTCCGTTATACCAAATGGTTTATGCATATTTAATTAATTTATCAGCTGAATGCCAGTGCAGCACAGTGCCAGTTACTCACTGTGCCTTTACTGATAATCAAGTTGGTTGGTAAAGCAGACTTTTCATAATCACCAGGAGAAGATAAGCCAGCTGGATTTTAAATCAGCATCCTCTCTTTTATTAGTAGCCTGATTTCAGTCGACCCAGTATTTATCTTTCTCTATTAGCTGTATTGGCAGTAGATAGTGGATAAGGTCTTCAGCAAACCGGCTTGCTAGAACAGACTGAGCAAGAAAGATGATGGCTGTGCAGCCTGACGAAGTCTACCGCACCTTTTATTCATGCCTTCTCCCTTTTCTCCAGGGAAGAAGGCTGGCTGCCTTCCCCAGGCTTCCCTCTCCCTAGCAAAATGCCTCGCTTTTACCTTCTCAGACTCCATTTTCCCCCCCACCAACCCAGGAGGCTGGTGCTGCGAAGCACCGGGGCTGAGCTGTGCCCTGCTCCAGGCCAGCTACTCACCACCTCCAGCCCACCGCCTGGCAGCAAAGGCTTCACTGCAAGATGTGAGCAGGAACCTGCACCAAAGATATGGGATCTGCTGCACTAATGGGGTATTTCCCATCATGGGGCTGAAAGGTAAATGAAATTTATTCTAGATAAGAGTCCTGACGGAGCTCTGCCTCCCAGCAGGCAGAAATGCTTGTTTCTGAAGGAGCAACCATCTCAAAGCCCTTCGTAATTGAGCAGTCCCAGAGGAGATTAAACCTAAGTCCAAATTCATCCTTAATATAACACCACAAGAGTCACTGGAAGTGCAGCAGAAATTAATTCATGCTTCAGTAGCTGGTTTCTGCCAATAGTTTTGCCTCAGCATGTAACTTTTTAGTGACAAAATATCTCTGAATTTCAATTAGTGAATTTATCGTCTATTAAACTGCCAGCCTTTTTCAAATAACAAGTCAAACACATTCTTAGTGCTGACACATAATACAGAAATACTGTCTATCAGGAAAAAAAAAATCCACATAGAAAAGAGCACAGTGCTCATCTTCTTGCCTATTAGTCCCGAGGTTCTCAAACCTGAGTGTTTCTGGCATACATCGAAACAAAACTGTTAATAAAGACAATAAAATCAAAAGGAAAGAGTGGTAAGGGAGGAAGATGGAGGTTAAAGGAAAAGCATTTTTCTCCATTTATCTCTGACTTTCTATCCACACTTTCTGGGGGTTTTGTTATCTGATCGGTTCTAGGACGTCCATGGACTCCAGGTTTTGGAGGTTTGCCACATGTTATATCTGAACCTGTGGCAGCCAGGCCATTATATGGGTTTGCAAGTCTGCTGTTAAACCATTTCTGGACCAAAATCTGTCAATGCGCCAACTGTAAAATGAAGCTAAATATTTAAATTTTTTCAAAACATGAAAGATTCAGAATGTTGTCGTGATGAAAAAATCATCAGTTCAACCTTTCAAGGATTGTTTGTGATTCAGTTTTATGCAGTGTCTGAAACTTGTTGGATGACCTTGGATGAATCTCTTCCTTCAGTCCTTCCTTCCTTCCTTCGGCAGTGGTTTCTGTATCACAGCAAAAGCACAGACTAACTCCCGCTGCTCGGGTATTACCGAGAGGGGGAATTAAAAGATTTGAGATTACTTGCTGTCAGGTTAAAAGTTTGCTTGTATGTGTTGTTACTTGTGGTGTTATGTGTTGTCACAAAGCTTCAGCACCGATTATCTGGACTCATCTGTGCTTGGGGAAAGAAGGGAAAGTAAACCTGGTTTCTCTTTGGCTGTCACACAGCAGGCGATGATTTTTTTCAAAGAAAAGGGTGATGACAATCTAAGTCCACCACAGAAAGTATCTCGCTGAGGAGTTCAACCATTACCTTTACCTCAAGGAGACCTAACCTGGGAGAACGTCAGCATCACCCTGAATGCCAGCACACCAACAGCTGTGCAGCCTCGCAGCTACTCGTGGGCACCCACCACGAGTGGACGGTCCCACCAGCTGCCCCGCAGCATCGCCTCGAGTGGGTGGAGACGGACTTCAGGGAAATTTCCCTGCCTTCACGGCATCGTTTATGCACCACCGAGACGATGGAGCCTTTACAGCAAACCAGACTTTCGTCCTACCAAACTGCGATAAGCGTTACGAGTGGGACTCCCACCCCCGCTGTAGCAAGCCCACCCGGCCGGTCCTGCGAGCCCCGTGGCGAGTGGGGGACACCAGCCGCGCCCCCCCCC